ATGGAGGGCTCGACATCATTTTACCTCTGATTTAGAATGATCTCACTTGTTTTCTGTATATTAAAAATCAACGCAAGGGAATGGTGGTATCAAATGATGGCAAACCCTTGACCCTGGATCATAGATCCAAGAATGCCAAGTAAAAGGGGGTACTGTGTTGGGTTTGGGGGGAAATCAAGAGGTGAACTAGATGGAATAGAAGGAGATTGGCGAGGGTCTTAGGCACTTTTGGTGGGAATGAAGTAAGATAACTGTGCACATTCAAAACCATAAATGTTAACAATATTGCAAACATGACATAAGCTATAATAATTGAATTTCAAAATGAGTTTGCCAAGATGGTGGGATGGGTGTTGATGGGAGGACACCTTTAGACATTGTAGAGGGATGCTGACACTGGTGTGGAGTGGGAACATTATTATTGATAGTGGTATAAATCAGAGTGCCTAAATAAAGATTAGAAAAAAATTTATTTCAATTTTCATTTTGTATGAGCCTATATTTTTCTCTATTCTGACTTATTTCACTTAACATAAAATGATGTTGAGCCCTCCAGTCTCATTTAAGTTGATGTGAACTTTATGATTTCATCTTTTAATATGACTTCGTAGTATTCCACTTCGCACATGTACTATAGCTTTCTTATCCATTCTTCTTTATTGGTGGTCAATTTCATTTATTTTCATAATCCATCTATTGTGTAAGTGCTGCAAAGAACAAAGGTGGAAATGTCTCTTTGAATTAATGTTTTGGTGTTTTGAGAGTAGATACCAAGAAGCGAATTTCTGGGTAATATATAGAAATTCTATCCTTTCTTTTTTGAGAAATTTGCATAGTGTTTTACAAAGAGGTTGACAAACATCCCTAGCAGCAGTGAGTGAGGGTTGCTTTTTCACCACATCTCTACCAACACTGCTTCCAATCTTTTTAATATTCTTTTCAACAAGTATTGCATAATAAAAGTCATATCCAGTGAAACAAATTCTAACTTGTTTAAAGAATTACTTTTTTAGTGAAATACAAACGGTTGCACTAAATTCTTACATTCTTACATTCGATGTTAGCTGTTATTGGCCCTATCAAAGCAGTATTGTTTAATGAGGTCAAAATATTGACAGAAGTTTGCCATCTTGAAAACTTCAGATATATTTCTCACTGTATCACTGTCATCCCGTTGGTCATCAAATTACTGAGCGGGCATCAGTAACGTCACTATTCCTCCCAGCCCAGAGATTTTAGCAGACTCTTCTTACTGATCTTTTCCCAATGATTGGAGGCTCTTTTTTAGGGCCAGGAGAATGAGAACTATTGTCGTTAACTGTATTTGGCATATCAAATACGCCGCAGGAAACTTGCCAGGCTCTGTCCATGCAGGCGGGATACTCTCAGTAGCTTACTGGGCTCTCCGAGAGGCATAAATGGGTAGGAAGTGTCTCATGTTGTGTCACACGGCCGCTTTGCAGTCCAGAAAGTGGCCTGGAGCATGGCGGTGGTTGGGCAGTGGAGGTCGGCTGCCAGGGCTGGGTCCCTTGGAGTGGGGAGGGCTCTCACCCACCCCACAGCCTGGCACAAAGTCTGGTGGCATGGTTCTGGGAGCCTCCTTTTATACTCCCGTCTGAAAGAAGCATCCATGAGTTCTGGAGGGTGGCCGATGAGGAGATTATCTGGTGCCAGCAGAGTTTGGCTTATGGGTGTGATCCCCGAGTCACTGGAGACTGGGGGAAGCAGGCAGAGGATCTCTGTTCCAGGTCCCATTGAGTCCAGCGTCCAAGGTCACAAAGTTCTGCATTAGCTGGGTTCCATGGGACTTCATTCTTGTGTGAGGCATGGCCTGAGCATCCGGAAAGTGGTCTGGAGCATGGCGGTGGTTGGGCAATGGAGCTTGACTGCAAGGGCTGGGTCCGTGGGGGTAGGGATGGCTCTCACCTGCTCCACAAGCCTGCCAAAGAGTCCCAGATATATATTTAGGTGAAGTTAAATTAGATGAAGTTAAATTAGATTTAAAAAATCGATACTGATATTATCCCAATATACTGGTCATTGAGAAACAACTGAATCCAGGTGTTTAGTTTTCCAGTCTTTCTTAACAGGAAACAGGACTATACCCAGTCCTAATGGTTGTTGGTTAGCTTGCCTATTCAAAGGCATTTTTACAGAGGCTAAGGCACTTCTCTTACATGCTGTCAATCCAGGTTCAATCTTCAGTATATGGTCCCATGAACACTGCCAGGAATTTGATCCTTGACCATGGAGCCACAGAGCCAGGAGTAGCCTTGAGCTCCTCTGGGTATGACCCTAACTCTCCCCAAAAGAAATAAATAATAAGGAAACATGGCAGACAGATGAAAACCTACTCTTTGTTGTTGTTGTTGTTGTTGCTGTTGTTGTGGTTCTTTGTGCTGGGGGGGGGGGGGTGGGAGCCACACTTGATGGAGCACAGGGCTTACACCTCGCTCTAAGCTCAAGAATCACTTCTGGAGGTATCACAGGACCATATGAGGTGCCCGGAAAATGCCCTACCTACTATACTATATTGCCAGCCCCAGTGAGAACCTACTATTGAATAGACAAGTCCCTTTTCACCCAGACTCTTCCAGTGGTAGCAAATCCGAAGTATTGAACACTGTAGCCAGCACAGAGGTTCCCAAATGTACTTGCTCTACCTCACCTTCTTAGAAAAATAAGACTGTGCATCACTGGAAATCTACTTTATTTAATGAACAAAGAGAAGGTATCCTCCGAGGCCCTATTGCACTCATGAGTACTTGCTGTCCCCCTATGTTATTGTAGTACTCCATGGGGTAAGGATTTCCCACTCTGGGAAGTACTCATAGAGATCTGCAATGTAATTCTGCTTTGTCAGAGTCTGAGATGTACATTTCCTCCAAAGTTCACACTTGTGTCAATGAATTCTGGTTCAGTGAATTTCCAGAAAGATCTTCGGGTTAATCTGAAAATCCAGTTGAGACAGCTAAACAGAGACTGGTAAATCATAGTATATCTGTCCTTAGCCAGAAAGAATGAGATTATTGGTGGCTCTAGAACATATTAACTAGAAATGGAAAGAGTCTATTGTTTAGTTGCAACACCGCTTTCATTCTTTAGAAATACAGCAGGATGATTTCTTCAAACCATTTCAATTCCTATATGATCTCATATGTTATATGCCATAAATTAATTTATTAAAGGAGGAGTAGCATTTTTGAAATAGTTCACAATTTCACAATATCACATTTCACAATGACTGTCACATTGGTGAGTAAGAGTTGAAATTAGGAATTAATAAACTAGCACTGAGGGCTCTGGAAAATGGCTCATTGACTAAAACATCTGCCTTGCACCCATGAAAACACAAGTTCAATCTCCAGTGTGACTCAAAATCACCCAGCTCAATTGTAGCAGCTCTGTTGTTTTTCCTGGCAGCCCTGCTCTCTGTAAGTTTCAACTGAACTACTGCCAAGTGTGTGGGAGCACCACAACTAAAAGAATGTGGGAGCACTCTGGCCACGTAAGTGACAAGCACTTATGTGAGCAGCACAAAAAAGTAGTGTGACCTCCCCCCACTTGCCCCACCCAATGAGCACGTGCCCAAGGCACAGTGACAACTTAAAGGAGTATAACCCAACCCCTGGTGAACACAGCAGCCAAGGGTGTGTGCACCACAGCTTAACGTGGAACCCCTGGTGAACTGCACTACCAAATAAGCAAGCACTCAACACTTGTGATCACACCACCATCAGAGAAAATGGAGAGGTTAAGAAAGCTAGCATGTAATATGAAGAATCCCATTGGACTAAACTTTTTTTTATGTAAACTAAAGTAAGACAATAAAGTGGCTTGCCCAGTGCTCTATAATTAAACTAATGGTAGGTCACCAGAGTCTTAAAATAGTGTTCTTTTCTTCTCTATCAAAATCATGCTGAAAGGTAGTAATGGTACCTATGAAAGTAGAGTCCAGTCTTATCACAAGGCTATCAAGGTGGATATGCCAAAACTTTCTATTGTAGTTACATACATATGGAAGAATAGCTATATCCTGGACAAAAATTCCTTTTGATTTTAAATTTTCTTCTATATAAATTGAAATAATAAGTTTCTTAAAATAGTTACCCAAAAGATCTCAAGTTATGTTATAGCCATTAATAACCTGAACTTTGCTTTATGTGTATAAAACACTTCTCATTGACTTGTAGACCTTTTTTTAAATCCTCTTAAAAAAGTACCAATTTTACCATGTTGCAGTCCATTGTTTTTATACGTATTTTTTATCGTATTATTTTATGGAAAAGAGAAGATATTTTCAGGATAGTAATGTTAAAGTGATGTAAAGTGATCTTCAAATTGTCTAGGTAGCAATGTTAGTCTACAGATTATCAGTGCCAGAGGCTAAATGCTATCACAGTCACAGCAAACACTAAACCTGTCGGCAATCACATTTTCTCCTATCCAAACTATATACCAGCAAGTGGCATGATTCCCGGTTATAATGTACGATGGATACTCCTAATTATGAAAACTGTTCTAATTGTGAGATTATTTGTGCTATTATCGCATAACGGAAGATTTTTTGTGATCCCATTTAAAATGTATTACCCAGACAGCAAAAACATCCATTGTAAAGAGCTGGGGGTGGGGATTGTCAACAGACACTGCAATAACTGAGCTCGGAGCATTTATTCTGATTCGGTGCTTATTGGTAAAATCTGTCTGAAAATACAGATAAATGTATCCTATCTTCCAACACAAGGCTATGTGAAAAATGCCTGTCCAAATACCACTTCCTGTTCATAGCACACATGCTATACATTGGGAATGTGCAGAAAAATATGAGAAAGTGTTATCACATCACTACAGGCTGAAACATGACTATGTCTGCAAAACAGGAAGGTGTGTGAGGGATAATGTCTGTCTTTAGGCACTATAGTATGTCAAAACCACAAAGACAATGTGCAGGAAAAGATAGCTCCATCATAACCACTTTTTTATGATTGTCTTCACAGAATGAGATAAACGAAAAGCTGCAAATACAGGAAGAGGCCTTTCATGCACGAATAGAAAAATTGAAAAAGGCCTAAGGACTCAGTACCAGAACAGTGATGACAAACTTCACAGAAACAAACAGAATCAGCTACAATAGTAAACATCCTATAGCATCATGTCTCCTTCATTTAGTTGAGAGCAGAAAACAGAGCTCACTTTCTATGATCTTAAGTAATTAGGAATGTATTTGTCCCTATTTTGGTATCTTCTATTCCATAATAGCCTCTGAACTTATTGCACTGTAGGTGATAAGAATATTTTATATACAAGAGTTTGGAGACATTATATATATATGTATATATGCAGTTACTTTCACTATGCTTCTTTGACATTTAGCTATAAATGCTATCCATAATAAAGGATAATAACGTTATCTTTTTTGAAGAAAGAAAAGGAAAAGATAGTAATTGTATGTGCATTGACCCAGATTAATTGTCTCATTAAAGGAGCACTGTGAACAGACACCACTATCACTCTGCTGAGAATAAAACTTGCTAAACAATTGTAACTCAAATAAATATATTAGGTGGCTTTTTCCCCCTTAAATCTTTTGGTTTTCTTATTTAAATGTTTCAGTGTGAAACCAATTTTCTGAAATTATGTAATGCAGTTTGAAGCACTTTAATTTATTCTGTACTGTATTTGTTATTTTTAATCTTGTTACTCTCCCAGGAGAATACATGACCTATATAAAAAGAAGCAATGTATAAATGGTTATTAAAGATCAACCTATATATGGATTGTAAAAATCTTAAATACAAATCAAACACACAGAGCTCTTAAAATTAACCGTTATATTGCAGCAGAGTGATTTAAAACATCTCAAGCTTTTAAATACCTGTATTAAAATAGAAAAAATATACATCTTTCAGCTGATTTTTCCTGTTGGACAAAATTAATTACCAACTTTGCCTTTTCCAAAGTTCTTAGACTTCAGAGTATTCTAGAATGGAAAGAAATGCTAGAAAAGGGCAGATTTTTCTAGAAGTTTCCTTTTTACTTTGTAATTAAATCAGGATGTATTTGTTTATTTTCAATGAGTGTTCTAATCTTGGACTATGTATCTTACTCTTTCTATCAATATAAAAAGGATTTTCCAAAACATATTTATTTGGAGTAATTATCTATCTGTTTTGGCAATTTTTCAACTACACATCAGCAAGGTGGAAAAGTCCTTAAGATAAACAGCTTTAAGGAGTTATGAAAAGTTGGATCCCTAAAAACTATTGAGAAGGTATAGTTATAGTCATACCTAAGACATTCATCCCAGGTCTGATACTGGTTTCACCACTAACTAATTTCTGTGACTTTCAAAAGCTCTTCATACTCTATATGACCTTCAATTAATTTAGGATAATATTTTGAGCTAATGAGAAGAAATGTAATAAATTCAAATCCGAGGATTTTTTGCATGGTTTGGCCTTTGTCTACCTTTTTATGATACCCCAAAAATCATTGCCCATCTTGAATACCTAAGCCCAATTACTAGATCTGACTCTTCTGCACTATCTCCAGGTTCCTGTCTCATCGGTTTCTGTGGATGCCACGTTCATCTGCGGCAACCATTTTATCACTCTGTGATCCTAGAAGTCTTTCATGTTGGGGCTGTCCAAGAATCTCTGTAGTAGCCTAACTAACATTGACTACTTAAAAAAAAGTTATATTAAGAGTGACTAGAAAATTTAATTTGTAACTGCTTCTTTTAAACTAATTTTGAATTGATAAAAGGCTGTTTATCAACAATAATGGGATAGTTGGCGGGGTGGGAAGATTGGATTGGAAGTCCATAAGGATGAGGGGAAGTCAGTGGTGGGGATGTGGAGTAAACTGTACATCAATACCAGGTACTTGTTCACTATTGTAACCATGTTACCTAATCAATAATTAAAATTAAAAATAAATATCATAAAAATATAGATATGACAAAAAATTCCACCCAATCTGGTTATAATTATTTCTCTCATATATGAAAATATATCTTACAGAAAATACTTAGAAAAGTTTTTTTTGCCCACTTACACAATTGGGGGCTAGAGCGATAGCACAGTGGTAGCACATTTGCCCTGGGCACAGCCCGCCGGGCCAAACCGGGTTCGACTCCTCCACCCCTCTCGGAGAGCCTGGCAAGCTACCAAGAATATCTTGCCCGCACGGCAAAGCCTGGCAAGCTCCCCGTGACAAATTCGATATGCCAAACACAGTAACAACAAAGTCTCACAATGGAGATGTTACTGGGCCCGCTCGAGCAAATTGATGAACAACGGGAGGACGGTGTGCAGTGCTACACAATTGGATGCTTGTATAGACTGTATTTTTTTAATGCAATTTACATTTTGCCTCACTAAGATATTTATTTCACTATAATTCCTAAAGATATTTCATTATCAGTCGCCTCACACCAGAGAGTTAGTTCAGGCTTTAAGGCACATCCTTTGCTGAACCTGATTCTCTGCCCCCTAGTCTGATGGGGCCCTAGACTCAGCTTTCGGTGTTTCTAGGTGGCCTGCAGAGTGCCCAGCACTGTAGGATATGAGAATGCGGTGTTGCTCTTCAGCGTGGGCCCTTGCATTGAACCACCAGGCCATTGGCAGAGAACTGTCAGGGGGAGCCTTCAGGACTCCTAAGTACTGTTTGGGAGAACCCCACCCCTCAAAAAGAAATGTGTACCTCTTTCCACATTGCAGCCAACAGTATGTAATGACCTGTTTTTGTATCTTTGATGGTATCTATAGTGGATGCAAAACACTGTAAAGCTATTGTATTACTTTATGTTATTTTAATCCACATCGATTAAATTATGTATTTAATCTGATAATCCTAAGAGATAGATAGTCTTTATACCCTCATTTTATAGTTATAAAGTCTGAAGTCCAGCACTGTCTGTAGCACTGTCCTCCCATTGGTCATCGATTTGCTCAAGCGGGTCCAGTAACATCTCCATTGTGAGACTTCTTGTTACTGTGTTTGTCATATTGAATACATCACGGGTAGTTTGCCAGGTTTTGCCGTGCGGGCAAGATACTCTCGGTTGCTTGTCAGGCTCTCCGAGAGGAGCAGAGGAATCGAACCTGGCTTGGCCTACAAACTGTTAACAGGAACCAAGTTGTGAAATTTTAATAATTGATATGTGCATGCATAAATATGACCTATTTTACAGATAAGTGTTGAAATGCAAAGAAATTTTAAATAAATTTCTCATACTCACACAATAACTGATGGAACCAGGTTTTGAATTTAAACATATATAGTAAAGCCACATACTTTATCATCATGTAGTTATTGTTTGAATTTGATTATTTTTAAATCCAAGTAGATTAAACACATGTTTTTATAAGCAGATTTATATAGATAGCCAATGTGAGACATAGTAGATGTGAAAAACGAAATTTCTTTTTTATTACTAGCTACAAAGAAAGGGAACAAATTTATTTATGTGAACATTAAATATTTAGAAAATTTTTCAAGGATGTATTGTGTAACCCAGCTCCGTTTATTTCTGTGACCTGTGTTAGTTGAATACTTACTATATCAAGAGTAGTGAGCCAATTCGATGAAGATTTTGCCCTATAAACTAAGTGAAGACCTAGTTAACACTAACTATGGTAAAGGTAACATTCAGAGAATTATGGGTAAATTGAACAAAGGACATGGTGTTGTCTAGAGGGCAGAAATGCTTTAACAACTTTTGACATTTGATCTGAGATAGAGCATAGGTAGAATTTAACAAGACTAAATAAGTTGAAGGAAGATAAGTTTCAGACAGAGAGAAAACATGTGCAAAATCTCTAGGATGCGAGAAAAATGTGAACAATTGGCCACAGCTTTTTAGAACATATTGCAGGCCTATTTTTTTTCCTTAAATTTTTATTAGTGAAACACCATGAGGTACAGTTGTAGACTTACAAATTTTTGTGCTTGGGTTTCAGTTATACAATGGTCAAATACCCATCCCTCCACCAGTGCCCATTCTCCACCACCACCAGTCCCAGTATCCCTCCCACCCCCTTTCCCCCCATTCCCTATCCCACCCTACCACTGTGGCAGGGCATTCCCTTTTGTTATATCTCTCTTTCTGAGTGCTGTGGTGTGCGAAAGAGATATTGAGTGGCAATCTTGTTCGGACTGTAGTCTACTCTCATCACGCATTTCCCATCCTGAGAGGAACTTCCCAACACCGTTTACTTGGTGCTCCCTTCTCTGTCTGAGCTGCCTTTTCCCCTAGCGTGTGTGGTTGTCCTCAAAGTCATGGACTTATCCGCCTGGTACTTATCTTGGCTATTCTTGGGTGGTAGTCTCCAATTTTCTACTTTATGTTACCCAGATGAATGCAATCTTTCTATGTCTATCCCTCTCTTTCTGATTCATTTCACTTAGCATGATACTTTCCATGTAGTACCACGTGTATGTAAATTTCATGACTTCATCTTTTCTGACAGCTACATAGTATTCCATTGTGTAGATGTACCAAAGCTTCTTTAACCAGTCATCTGTTCTTGAGCACTCAGGTTGTTTCCAGATTCTAGCTATTATAAACAATGCTGCAATGAACAGACAACTGCAGATGTCGCTTCGACTATACTTTTTTGCCTCTCCGGGGTATATTCCCAGGAGTGGAATTGCTGGGTCAAATGGGAGTTCAATTTTTAGTTTTTTGAGAATCGTCCATACTGTTTTCCAGAAGGGCTGAACCAGTCGGTATTCCCACCAGCAGTGAAGGAGGGTCTCTTTCTCGCCACATCCGTGCCAGTACCGGTTGCTTTGGTTCTTTTGGATGTGGGCCAGTTTCTGTTGTGTGAAAAGATATCTCATTGTTGTTTTGATGCAGGCCTATTTTTACTTTAAAAGCAATAGGAATTTGTTGATAAATTTTAAGTATCAAGTGGCATCATATTAGTCATTTTTCAAAAGTCTTGTCGGAGTGCAAAGCCATCTGTCCACTAAGACATGAAAAAGAATACTTTTATAAAATATTCCTACCAATGATGCTATAGAACCACTGCTTAGTTTTTGAGAGCAAGAAAAATAAAGGAAAAATTGACTTTTAAAATATTTAGGCTTAGGGGGTATGGTGCCGCCACCAGGTCTATCTGTACTGTGAGTCGAGTGCATCAGCAGCCTGATGGTGCCTTCAGACTTCCAGATAACCCAAAATTGCTGCTGTGCCTTTGGCCAGACCCCAAAAACTTGGGGCAAAGTTCACCAAGAAAGTAAAGGGCCAAAAGTTAGGTA